TGGCCTGCGCAGATAAGCATGTCTCGCCTCTGTGCTGAGAATACAGAACAGAGCTGTTTCTGTACATGGCTCATTGAAGCCCACGAGCCATGCTTTTCTCTTCAGTCTGCAGGATCTGGGTCTCATTTGGAAGGATTAGGATTTGCACAGGTAACACAATCAGGGTAACAAAACCCAAGGGTCACTTGTACATAGCAGAGAGAAGACTGGACTGTGTTTCCTCAGTCATATGCTACATCTACACAGATTGGTTTTGCTTTTAGTTTTTAAAATCTGAATATAGACTGAGGGGGTATATCCTGACACTATTTTGTATTTTATGGAATGTAACTAGTAACTGTTATTAACTACAGTGAGAATATAGATGTCTACAATCTATATGTCAGAGTATACTTTGCTGGTACATATTAGAGGACAATGTATATACAAACTGTGCGTCTGCTTTACTGCATAACGTACTTAAATAAGTACCAGCTGGCTTGATTCCTTTAAGCCTCTAACTAACCATTCTCAATAATCTATGAGCAGAGTATGTTCCATCTATATGAAAGCCGAAACTATTTGAAATCCTGTAACAATCAATCTTTTTGTGTCATAATTCTATATTTAAAGAGGGAGTGTGGATAACCGATAAGCATTTCAAATTAAACTATCAGTCTTGGCAAGATGCCTGTCGTGAACAAAACTGCTCTGGTAATGTTTGCTAAGCTTGTCTTTTGATGAGAGCTAACCCAGGCTTCAGTCCATCCGGTTCAGTACCCCTCAGGGTGATATGCCTAGGGTCAATACTCTCCTTCCTCATACACTGAGCTCAGAGACTCTTCCTGGCAACTGGCTAAATCTTAAGCATAACCTTACTGCCCCACCATGGTAATTTCCCTGCAGAGTTCCTTGTTCAGCCATTTCTTGCCCTCCCTCCCACTGCTTGCCTGTGGTCTCAGGAGGGGAGTAATTTCTGCAACATTTTTGTTTCTTTTGGTTGCTCTTGTGGATGGCAAAGGCACAAAAATAAGTGGAACAGATCTCTGTTAGTTTAGATATTTTTAAAATTTTTATAAGATTCACTGATGCTATGAAAATGAACACAATAAATTATTGTTGCCCTTGTAACATTTTTTTTCTTGAGCCTGTTTCTGTTTCACATTGGAAAAAATATCTCCAAAATAAAATAATGGCATTAGATTTTTGGGAAAAAAATTCTTTCTGATGGATCTATTAACAAAACACTAATACCATTAAGCAGAATCCATCACCCTATAATTCTTGCTAGGCAATGTTACCCTACTGAAAACAAAGTAGAAGTTGGACAGGACACTGCGTTGGTGCTCACCTTCACTGCACTATGAGGACATTTCTCAAAGTGACTTTTTTAAAATTAATGTTACATGCTGTTCAAAACAAGAATGTTAGTCCTCTAGCCATTCATCCCATTCAGATGAGTGCAGCCTGCTCTCCCCTCCTGGGCTTCAGCAGAGAGAGCTTCAGAGTCCTCATGGCCAAGACACACAAAGGAATTCCACCAATTATTCCATTGGCTTGTCCTGTCTTAAATGAACTCTGTCTTCTGATGCTGATGGAAGTTCTGAAAGCCACTTCCTAGCTGAATGTTTTAGGCACATGAATAGATTTCATATTCTGGATTTTTTTTCACAAAAAAATTAATAAAAGCAAACTAACATTCTCTTTAAAGTGCCTAGTATTTGGTCCTAAAATCTTGCTAAAACTACATATTATTGACAAATTGCTTCTGGCCTGGACATGTGCAGTGTTACCTGACATGTTGATACTCTAGATTAGTCCTAAAATAGGATGGATGTTTCTAATGTGAGTAGTCTTCAAATACTCATAGTAGGAGAATCACACAAAGTGCTTGTAACAAAGACTCAGTTCTTCAAACCCAAGACTGAATTAGGATCAGGCCCAAGATTTTCAACAATCTTCCTGCTAAAATTTGAGATCTAATTCCTTAAAATTTAAGGGATTATTTCCTTCATCACTTGTGACTGTTGGCTTTCAAGCCGAGTTACATCATCTCCTTAATCTTTCCTTGTCTTTTCTTTCTCTGCCAAATATAATTCTGATTTAACAAGTACTTTTCTGACAGCAATACTTTAAATAGCCAACTACTAGATGTAACCCATGAAGGGCAACCATGGATCTGTTTGTTACGCCTTCCTGTTATTTTCCCAATAAGTAGTTTTGGTTAATGATTATTAGCACATCAATATATATGTGTGGTTTAGAGTCACTCTATGTGGAAAATATTAATAAAGGGAAGTAACAAATAAAATTTTCATAATTGTTCAATAGGCATCGATGTCTCTCTAAATTGTCCAAATATTCAGAGTAAGAATATACTTTTGATCAGTATATTTAAAAGCACTACTAAATACTTTAAAAAGCATAAGTAATATCCATGCCAGAGTGAGTACTAAAAATATTTATAATTATATAAATTAATAGTGTTAGAACATGAGTGAGGGCCAGTGTGCAAATGAATGAATGTTTTGAGCAACAGTTTTTCAAGACAAAAAATAATCCCTTAAAATTCTCTGGTCAGTCCCTCTTCAGAACTCTTTGTGTTCTTGTTATCCTGAAACAGAGGTCACCTTAATTCTCACAGGGTTAACTGTTTTTCGGTTTGTTCATCCTCGTCTTCTGATTCCTGTATTGCTTAACAAAGCCTTCTCAGTTCTAAGATAACATTTCTTTGTAAAGAAGGCATTTGGTAGATCCTCCATTGAAAGCATGCTTTTCCTTCCTCATTTATTTGTGTTGTTATGTGAAAAAAAGAGGAAGATATAATAGGAAGAAAAAGAACAGGTGTCCCTCAGTGCAAGAAATCTTCTCAGCAATGTAAGTTGGTGATGTTCCAAGATGGTGCCTGTAATACCTTGGCTGTGACTGTGACTTCGCCTGCTTTTGGAGAGTATGTAGAAGAAAGCATACTTAAGTACACTGTCTATCATGAACACGTATGCACTCATATGATAAAGCACATGATCTGATTTCCTGAACCTCTTTATTGACAATGTACTGAACTGGATTTTGTGTTCTTTTAAACCATCGCTATTTTTAAGCTGTAAGACAGTGTCTGACCTAACACTCATTTTGGGAAGACACTAAGATTAAAATCCAGAAATTCAGGGCTCTAGTCACACCTCCCCCATTTAGTAGCTCAACGTTGTGCCTCAATTACACCTCAGTACACAGGAGCTCAGGCCTTGCTTTCTACATAGAGTTTTAGTTGAAGCCAAATGCTACAGTGTGTAGCATACACACACTTTTAAATGTTGAAGCTTCATAAAAATTGACAGCTATTAAGCCATGTTATTTAATAACAAAATTGCTTTATTCCTAGTGTAACATTCGTTTTCGACCTTTGACCATCACACTTCTCAACAGTGCTTTTGTAGCCAAAGTCTAGAACCCTCCCTAGGTGCTGCTGTTAGGGACAGTCTCGCCATCAATTGTTCAATCAATCAAGCAACCGAGCAGAATCTCATGACAGGATAGTTCAGAGGTCCCAGGTTAAATCCCCAACACCACCAAAAGTAATCAACTGGCCTGGCAGTGAACCCTAAAACAAACCAAGGCCAATCCTTAGTCATTGTTTGTACGATGAATTCTAAACAGTTACTTTGAGAAATACTTCGTTCAAACAAAATCCAGTGTAGAAACCCATTGTGTGGCACAGAAGGAAACAAAGCATCCTCATGCAGTAGGCAGGGCTTGCGAATACTTTCCAAGACTTTGTCTTTCAGGACTCATTGGAATGCTGCTCTTGAGGCTCACGGGTGAGGTGTGTGATGATGTTAATAAGGCAGCATCAGTGTCCAAAATCTGCTGTTGACAAGTGCCTCCAGATAGCATTGTTTAGAAAGATTTCCAGGGAAATATTGCCAACACCATGACTACTGCCTTTTGAAGAACATAGTTTCTGTTTTCCTGATAAAAGTACCTGGAAATACATGACTTTAGATGAGCACATGTACAACTAGCCTTGGCATTACTCTGGTGTGGAGAAACGAAGGGGTCAAAATGGGAGGACGAGCGGATAAGGCAGTCAATTTCATGAGGTTGATGTAGAAGGGATTTGGCATCAAATATGGCCAACTTTTAGTTTATGTGTGGAGAACTGAACTTCTTCTTGGTATGAATGACTGTAAGTGGGTCAAACACACTTATCAACAGAAACGGTGATTCTCTAGTGCTTCACGATACTGAATTTCCGATGGAGCGTGTTTGCTGTTATTGCTCTTTCTCTAGTTTAAGTGTCATTCAGTTTTTAAAAATCATATGGTATTTTAGTAAATTCACTAGTTTAAAACAATTTCGATTTTGTTCACTGGATTGAATATTGTGGTTTAGAATTGAGCATCTTAGAGATTATTAGACTATTCATACACCAGAATGAGGGAAAACTCTAAAAACATTCTAATGTAAATCACATTTTAACTTAAAAATAATTGCAAATATTCATGGCACAAGTTTCAGGCAAAAGCAAGATGTCAGTGAACACACTGTTTAGTTTTGTATTCTCTGGTCCCTTAAATAGCTCTAGAAAGTCACTTATCCCCTAAGATAGTAAGACAGATTTAAAAATTTCTAAGTCTAACATGCTAAAACCATCTGAAAAATTACTTTAATATAGAAAAACTACTCTTAAAACTTAAAAATTAAATAGAGAAGTATAGTTGTGGTCTCTGACAGTTATTTTAGGCATATTTTGAAACAGGCATTTCTATATCTTTTAATTTTAGGAGCCTACAAGCTGTAGGGCTTGAGTATTCCTTGAACATAACAAATACATCATGAGATAATTCCATAATCTATTAATAATTTTATAATTAATACATAATACTCCATAAATTATAACTTTTTAAACAATAGTTGGCTAACTTCTATTCTTTGAAAAACTATCCAGGAAAAAGAGCAAGGCCAACTGAGAGCTTGGATTTTACTACACAATAAGCTAACTGACTTCTTCTTTGCCAAAGTTTCAGACCCAAAGCTTGCGTCTGTCAGACCAGCACAGGAAGTCACATCTGTGGAGAGGAATTGTTAGCATCACCCTCATCGAGGGCCGAGACCTCAAAGCAATGGATTCCAATGGGTTGAGTGACCCCTATGTGAAGTTCCGACTGGGGCATCAGAAGTACAAGAGCAAGGTACATCTCTCTCCATCTGTGCTCCTGCCACTGGTGGGCAGGTCCTGACTGGTTAGCAGCCAGGCTTTAGCAGCTGTGACCATTGCGTCCCTTTGAAATGAGGGCTGTGGAATAGAATGTCGGTCTGTGCCCTAGGTGGCTTGAGAGAGCCACTCTGCTCTTCTGTCCCACTGCCTTCATCCATTACCCAGGAACTAGCTCGCTGCACATTTGTGAAATTTAAGAGGAAAGAGCAACAATATCCCCACCAGGAAATGCTCAGGGCATTGCCCAGCACCAGCATGTCCAGCATCTGTGATACAGACATTATTTTGCAGGCAATGAAATTCTTTCAGATTACTCTGGGTCATGTTATACAATCCGATTTTGACCAATACAATACAAAAGGTGTTTTAAAAATTATTTATGCAATTTTATTTAATCATATAGCTTTTGAGTTTTATGTCATACTTCAATAAAATGTATTACAATTATATTCATGTCTCTTCTTCCTCCCCTTTCACTTCTGCCAGCCATTTTCTTCTTCAAATTGACCCCCCAGCATGTTCCTCTCTTCCTTCTTTCATTTGTTTGTTCCTTCCTACCTTACTTTCTCCCTTCCTTTCTTTTTCTCTCCCTCCCTTCTTTCATTCCTTTCTCCCTTCCTTTCTCTCCCTCCCTTCCTTCCTTTCTCTCTCTCTCTCTCTCACTCCCTCTCTCCCTCCTTCCTTTCCTTTTTTTCTCTCTTTCCCTCCCTCCAGCCCTTCCTTCATTCCTTTCTCCCTTCCTTTATCTTTCTCCCTCCCTCCCTCCCTTCCTTCATTTTTCCTTTCCTTTCTCTCTTCTTCCCTCCCTCCCGCCCTCCCTCTCTTCCTTCCTTCCTTTTTCTCTCCCTCCCTCCCTCCCTCCCTTCCTTCCTTCCTACCTCACTTGCTTTTTCTCCTTTCTTTTCTTTCATCAGTCCCCATGCAGACAGCAACAACTGTTAGTGTTCATGATTGCAATGGCCATATCATATGCAGAAATTTTAAGATGTATTTAAGAAACAAAGAGTCAAACTCCTGTTGTTGCTATGTGTCATAGCAATGGCACAAGTTACTTAATGACATTGTGTGTCAATTTCCCCTTCTGCAGCAACAGAACTACAATGATGTCTACCTAAGCAAGTTATTAAAGAGATTAAATGAATGTACAGTAGACATAAAAGCCGGGCGATGGTGGCGCACGCCTTTAATCCCAGCACTCGGGAGGCAGAGGCAGGTGGATCTCTGTGAGTTCGAGACCAGCCTGGTCTACAGAGCTAGTTCCAGGACAGGCTCCAAAGCCACAGAGAAACCCTGTCTCGAAACCCCCCCCCCCAAAAAAAGGGACTTAAAATACTGCTGTGATCGTAAGTTCCCAGTAAATGCTAAAAGCAAAAGGAAGAAGGTTAGTGGCATCAGTAATAGTTGTAGAGCAACAATTTTGAGTGGTAATATATTAAGTAATATCAATAGCCAATAGCATTTCATTTATGAAACTAATGGTAATGGCAAGCACCTACGAATTGTAGCTACATCTTGTTATATCCAACTGCTTCCAGGTTTTAACAGCTGGCATTCATAGACACCTTGGGATGAGTACTTCCCATCCATCCTGAATTACATGACAATCACATGCCATTTTTGTGAAAATTGCTTGTCTTTAATGTACTTACTTTTGTGGATTTGGGGTCAAAACTTTATCTAGTTCCCTTCTAGTCCAGAAAGTCTTCATTAGTACTTAAGGTCTTCAAAATATCACAAAACTGATGTATTAACAGGCAGTGTATTGCTGGCATGCTATTTGGTGATCTTATGGAGGCCCACATGGAAGGTTTAAACATAAATTTTAGGTGGAAGAAAGTTATATGAGAAAGACAATCTGAATATAAAGGTTAGTCTGTTTATGACCTGATAAAAAAGATGAACTATAGCCGGGCAGTTGTGGTCCACACCTTTAATCCCAACACTCAGAAGGCACAGGCAGGTGAATCTCTGAGTACGGTGTCAGCCTGGTCTATAAGAGCTAGTTTCAGGACAAGTTCCAAAGCTACAGAGAAACACTGTCTTGAAAAAAACAAAACAAAACCAAAGAACTATATTCCAAAATGCCATAGGAGTTCATCATTCATGAAGAGAAAATTTGAATTATCATAGGATCCATCTAGTAATATTTATATTTTTCACCAGGAGCTTAAGAACAAATTTAAAACAGCTACTATTTAAAAAAAAATAGGTATCTATGACCACTTCTGTATTCTCTCAGTTAACACAATTTGCATGTTCTATTTGGCTTAGTTTTATAGTTCTGCTCTTTAGACATAAAATATGAACCCCACTATGGACAGGTGTCTCTTTTGATCTTTCTGTTCATGATCTACTGCAGATTAATTTCAGAGTATGAACTTTAAAGTTGTGATTCATTTGCATTACCTTTACACATTACATGCATCATTGCTTTCAAATTCTTTGCATCTAAGGACCTGTCTGTCATACATGAAGAAGAGAAAAGGCCACTGCATTCCTACCTGCTTTAAAATGGATGACAAGAGAAACAAATCTGAGTGTAGTCCAGGCAAATGCTAAGTGAAATTTTATAGCACATTAATATCGACAACTTCATTTATTGATTTATTGGGTTTATTCCCTGCATATTTAAAATTACAAAATTGCAGCCTAGACCTCCTTATTGTTTATAGAATATGAATAACACACACATGTGCAGTTTCCATGTATGGGAAGTGGAATGCCACTAAATGCTAAATGCTGAAGGCGGAGTCAACTAACTAAGACACCCCAAATGTGCTTGCTTATTCCTTCCGCTTCCACATAGTTCATTGTCTGTTTTCATGAATTTAAAACATTTATGTGCACAGAGAGAGAAAACGGGAACTCTGGGAATTCTCATCTTCTCTTATTACAAGATAACTGACTATGTGTTCGTTCTTCAATCAGTAACTGTGATAGAATAAATGTTAGTACCTGAATCTGTTGTTGCGCTGACAGGCTGCCTTTTATGCATTTAAGATAGATAATAAGAGAGTGTAAGGGCTTACTTCTGATTTTCTGATTTCTCTGAACACATCCATGAGTCTATTCTCAACAGAGACTAATTAATATACATGTACACCCCGGACAATTCAGTGGAACTACTACCCTTCACACGGTTTTATGCATAATGTCTCAAGTTGTTTTTAAATATTACTATTGAAACTAAAATAATATTTGCCTTTTCAGATTATGCCCAAAACTTTGAATCCTCAGTGGAGGGAACAGTTTGATTTCCATCTCTATGAGGAAAGAGGGGGGATCATCGACATCACCGCCTGGGACAGAGACTCTGGCAAAAGGGATGATTTCATCGGAAGGTTTGTGCAATTGGTGTTTTATTGACCGTAGAGATGACAAGCTTTTGTTGAAACAATCTAAACTTTATCACTGGCTGTCAACAGTTTTTTTTTTTTTTTTGGTTTTTCGAGACAGGGTTTCTCTGTGGTTTTGGAGCCTGTCCTGGAACTAGCTCTTGTAGACCAGGCTGGTCTCGAACTCACAAAGATCCTCCAGCCTCTGCCTCCCAAGTGAAGGAAACCTTCCATCATTACAGCTCCAGTCAGCATTGACAACTGTAGATTCAAACAATGACCAGTAGGTGGCAGCTTTGCCTAGTGGATGGACAGGCTGTTCCAATTTGTATCCAGAAATTTGTTTCCAGATGTCAGAATAATTGTGCCTAAAAGTTATGGGAGTCGAAAAAGGGGACTTTAACCTGATATGGGACACTCGGAGAAGAAAGGATGCTCTCAAGGGTAGGAAGTGGTCTGCAATAATGCTCGTTCTCAGAGTGATCAGATGTGGTATGTCCTACAGCTCTCTACAGAATCCTTATAACCTCTTAGGAGTTAATACATCAGGAAAGACTTCCAGAATTTTAGAAAAGGGAGAAGACGAGTGAGGCAGATCGTGTTAATTTGATAGTGCAGCAAACTGTGTTCTGAGGCTTGAATGACATTTCTCTACAAAGTTAAGGTTATTTAGACCAACAACTTGAATGATAGGGACTGTATCTGATTAAAAAGTCTATTTTTATATTTTTGTCAGTTACATATGTTCATTGTATCAAAATGTGTGAGAACTTGCCAGCATAGAAAAAGCACGGTGCATAGAGAGGTTTATTATTTTTAAAAAAAATCTCCTTTCAATGTAATCATGGAATTTACAATCCAAAGAGAACTCATACATTCCCAGCATAAAGGAAATTTCAGTCTAAAAGTAAAAAGAGGAATCTAAACTGACATTTTAGGCCCTCAGTTTTGTTTTGTTTTAACAATTCTGACACACCTATTTAAGCCGTAGCTTTCAGCACATGCGTGTGGAACAGGAGACAATGCTGTTTCAGTTAACTATAGTATCTGGTTTGCAAACAAAGTTGAGGAAACACCACTGTGGGCTACAAATTGCACTGTATCAAACCTTTGGAAAACAGGGGCCTTGTTTGCACTTTGCCCCTCAGAACAATACTATTATCAGAGTTTTCTGGAAGTCATTTTGTTCTTCTTGGTAGCTTAAGTCATGGTTTATATCTGCCAGTCTCAGGGTCAGTCCACAGTGGCTGTGCATTTGACTGGGCTGCAGCCTTGATGAAGAGTGAATTGCTGGTGTGTTTGACGAAAGTGAGAAAAAAAGAAGGGTTTGAAAGGAGGCTCTGATAGTTTTAGTGTTAGCAAATGACAAGGGAAAATCCAGCTTTTGGGGATCGGGAGGCTGAAGCTTCACTACGGACTGTCTGAAGTGAAGAACCATGTTATTTATTCCAGCAGTGATGTCCTCAGTTGTGTATGAGATGGGTTGAAAGGGGAGTTATAAGATGACTAGCACATTGGCAACTGTCAATCATGAGTGGTGCAGGAAACACACAAAGGGGTCAACTCACAGAGGGAACAAGGGCAGGGAAGGAGCCCAGATTTCAGATCTGAAGCATTCGCTCTGGAACTACTGTGTGAGAGACAGCAGGGCGAAGATGTGCACTGTAGAGCACAGGGCAGGAGGAGATGTGGTACCTTGGGAGCCAAGTGGAGGAAGCCATCAGCCAGTTCCTCCTCTGTTGCTGGTGAGGCTATGCAACCCGATTGGAGACCTGCAGTTGATAGCTGGGGGTAGAATCCTGACTTCCTGAGTCTGAGTGAGAATGGAGGAAGGCAATTGTCCAATGCTAACATATTTATGTTTCACCATTCCAGAGGTGAACACGTTTCTTTAATTGATAGTCATCCTTGTTTTTATGGTGAACAAACTAGACATGAAGGTCTTCCAGGAGACTGTCCTCTTAAAGAACCTACACACACTAGTAGATCAGTTGTGTGAGAGAGGAACCTACACACACCAGTAGATCAGCTGTGAGAGGGAGGAACCTTCACCATGACAGCAGCCACTTCCTCCCACCTGTCTCTTCATCTGACGGTCTGTTCCCAGCTTGATGACACAGGGCATCGTTGTTTGATTGGCCCCTTCATCCTGACCCCCCTTTTTTTGCTCCTCGACTTCTGGATCTTTTTTTTAACCTGACTCTTCTTGCTGTTCTTAGTTGTTTGTCAAGGCTCAGAGAGTGGTGGGGACTCCAGCAACTTCACTAATTGTGGGTTGTAAGGAGCATTTAAATCGTTTTATTTAATACTTATGTGATAGGTATCTATTTATGAGTGTGCTACAGCACACATGTCAAGGTCAAAGGACAACATTGTAAAATCTGTTCTCTCCTTCCATCTTTACATGCATTCCAGGGATTGAACTAAGTCCCCATGTGCACAGCAAGGACCTTTATTTATTGAACCATCTCTCCAGTCTCGAAGAAAAAAAAAGATTTAAGACACAAATAAAATAATTTAACTCCTCTACTCAAAACCCTTCACTTATTTCCCATTTATGGTCTGGGTAGAAGCAAAGTCCTTACTGAGGCCAACAGCCTCTGTGTGATGTGGTCCAAACCCCTGTCTGATGTGGCCAACAGCCTCTGTGTGATGTGGTCCAAACCCCTGTCTGAAATGCTGGCATTCCTCCTCCTCTGCCCTCCAGCCGTTATGGACACACTGCTGCTCCCCAAGCACACCAGACATTCCCCTTCTGTGGCACCTTTCCTTAAGTCACTTGCCTGTCTTGCTTTTATACTTTCACGGGTCTGAGAAAGCCCTGCTTTCTTAATATTCCCTTTCTTCTACTCTGCGATATTTTATAGACGTAGCCACTATTTGGCATACTGTGTATTTTCATTGAACATCTTCTCCACTGTACTACAATGAAAATTCCATGACAGGAGGGATATTTGAATGTCTGTTTACTGTAGCATCTTCAGAGAGTATGTGGCACATATGCTCAATAAATGTTCTTTAATTTGAACACAAACACTTGAAGCTTGATTTAATCCTGAAAAGTATGATTATTCATTCTTTAAATGAAGAATTAATATATTGTCAATATATTGGTGGAAGGCACGAACTTAAGGTATAATTGTGGGAAATGTACAGATACTATACAAAAGAGAAAAACTAATGAGTTAGAATATGTCTGAACAGTGCTTATATTCAAATGCTAAACTAATATATTTAGGAAAAAAACTAGCCTATACATTATCAAGATTCTCTCACCACAACATTCTAATTGACATATAAAACTGTACATATTTTAGGGTGTCATGTGATGCTTCAACATATATATCATGTATTGTTTACATCAAGGTAAACATGGCTAAATCCTCAGGCATTTGTTATGGCTGGTGGAAACATGACCCTTTCATGTAGGTTATAAGTGCAGACACAGTATTGCACCTAAAGCCTCACTGTTGTAGTGCAGCACACCACGATTCTTATCCTGATCAGTCAGCATTGTCCCCATCCCTCAGCCATCCTGAGACTTTTGACACACTGATCTACTTAAAACTTTCTTAAAGTCGGCCTTTTAAGATTTGGTGTCAGTTAGATCATGGCACTTATTACTTTTCTATGCATGGGTTATTTCACTAGATATAATGGCCTCCTGTTTTATCTGTATACTATAAATGATAGATTCTAAGCTTATTTCCTTTTTGGAAAGTTCTAGTATCAAAATTTTGTTATTCTATGAACAAATAACATTCTACTGTGACTATGTATTATATCTCTTTATCCATCAGTCGATGGACATTAATGTGGTGTCCACTTCATGGAATCTATGAATAACACTTTTAAACATAACAGTAAAGAGTCTAAAGTGTTTATGTATTTTTTTTTCTCCAATAGATTAATGGTTGTGTGTCTTTAATTAAAGTTTTTCATCTATCTTGAATTGGGTTGTGCATCTGGGAGAGATTATGGTCTGGTTTCTGCATGTGGACATCCAGCTTTTCTAAGACTATTCCTTGAAGAATCTGCCTGTGCTCTGATCTGTGTATCAGGCACATTTGCTGAGCATCCTAGGTTGTGCATACCTTGCTTTACCTCTAGGCTCTGAACTCCTCTCCATTTGTCTACATGCCTTTATTAGCTCTGGGATACATTAGGAAGTCAGGTAGTAGAATGAGTTCAGTTGTTTGTTTGCTTAAGAATGCAACAAACATTCTCTTTGTGGAAAATGTTCTCTTTGTGGAATATTATTCATTCCCTGATAGAAACTACATGCATCTGGAGGTCATTTTGACGAGCACAGACATTTTAACAATATAGATAATTCCAATCTATGAAACTACCTTCCCAGGCTTTTATTCTAAATACTTTTATCCTCAAGAATTTTACTTTTATAGCTATTGAAAATTTGGTTTCTTGTCCTTATAGTTTTCAGTTAATTTGCTATTGATGGACAGTAATAGTACTGATATTTTCTATTGATTTTTGGATCCTACATTTTGGAAAAAATGTTTAATTAGCTCTAATAGGTTTTGGTGAGGCTTTAGATCTTTGGGATATTCAATAAATAAGGTCACATTACATATAAATAGTGACAGTTTGCTTCCATTTTTTTTCTTTCCCCTATTATTCTGGCTGGAATATTCAGTACTGTGGTTGCATTAAGCCTCAAAAGTTAGTGTGTACATATTCTGCAGAGGTATCTTCTAGCATGACCCGTTCACTATGACATTAACTATTGGCTAGTTCTAGACTAGTATATAACTCTATGGTTTCATTTCTTGTAGTATGCGTCTTCTAATACTGTGTTCAGAGTTTTCACCATCTCGGTATATGGGAGTTTACACATTTTGTTGTTTAATTTACATAAAAATTTATTCACCAGGGACATAGATTAGCAATGAGAATGACTCTTTCCAAGCTTGTAAGCATCTTTATATACAACTCAGCGTGAGGAGGCAGAGAAGGAACATGTATACTGTATCAATTCTGTGGAT